GGTGGGTAATTCCACCACCAGCAGCTCGGAGTGATGGATGGAGCTGGGAGCACTGGGGAGGACAGGGCTCTGCTGCTGGCCCCCGCCGTACCACCACGGAGCCTGCGCCAGGGTTGGGGGGGGAGTCTTGTGGGGGGCTCCCCTGGCTCTGCTGGGCTGGGAGGGCAAAGCCTGTGGTTGGGTTTCCGACCTAAGCCATCCTAGAGAATTTGCAGAAGTTATTTTAACCTTTTCAGTGCCACTGACTGCTGGGAAATGCTGCTGTTAGAAATCAGCTGGATGCTGGACATTTAAACACTGCAGGAAGAAGTGGTCTCAGTAGGATTTTTTAATAGGTGCTACACCATCATCAGCCCCAGACCTTCCCCAAACCTGCTGGTGCTCCATGCCTGGTGGCAGAGGAGATCCAGGTGTGGGTAGGGCACTTATTCAAGACCCTGCTCATCAGCTTGCTCATGACAGCGCTTCCACACCTTGAGAAGTAATGGCCTCTCTGCAGAGAGGAGTGGGGCTGGGTCTGTCTGCATGTCCCATCTCTCCCTCACCAAAAAACTTACAGCCCCAGCTAATGCAAAGTTAAATCCGTGCTCTGCAAGTCCCTGTTAAGGCAGCTCTGCTGTTCCCCTGATGGATGACTCACAGGATGGGTGTCCCGTGATGTCCCCTGGGGCGCAGAAGCCTGGCTGATGGGGAGGAGATGCAGCCACAGGGTGCAAGGGGTATCCAGAGGGAACCCCCCCGCAGCCTCCCACCATCCTGGTCCAAGGGCAGCACCATCCCTGGTGCTTCCATGCCCCAGGAACCTGGTGAGGATTCACAGGGTGCTGGCCAGCAGCCATGAGAACGTGCTCATTGCACCTTCCCTAAAGCTTTGCCCGACCCTCAGCAAAGCCTGGTTAGGATTTTGGGAAGAATAGTGAGATGGGTGGTATCGTGGGGTGTAACCACGGATTTCTTGGATTACTTGGGGTGGGGGGAAGCTCGCAGCAGGTCCTCCTGGCTTGCGTGGTTGGATTTTACCCTGCAGCCTTGCCTTTCTCTCATGGGAGGGGAAAAAATTGAAAAAATACTGTGGAAAAGCAGGTGCCAGGTGCCTTTGAGCTGGTTGCATGATGAGATGCTGTCACCTTCCTCACTCAAGATGCTGTCACCTTCCTCGCTCGTGTTGGGGGAGGTGCCTGTGTTGCTGCGGAGGGTCCTCCCACCCCTCCCCGTTCATTTCAAATGCTGTTTATGGCTTTGGGTAAACAGATGGGGCTGGGGTTTTCCTAGCCTATATTTAATCTCAGTCTATATTTAAACTGCTTCCAGAGGAGTTAGCAGACCATTGTTTCAGCTGTGGCTAGAGAAGTAATTTCTAAACAAATCTTACCCCCGTCCACCCTTGCTTCCCCTCACCCTGCTCCTGACTGATCCTTTCTATTTTCACATAGCCTGAGTTTGAAGCCTTATCCTTGCTGGTTATCTGTCCTTTACTCAAGATGCTGTCACCTTCCTCGCTCGTGTTGGGGGAGCTCTGGTTGCTCACCAGTTTCCTCCTCCCACCCCTCCCCGTTCATTTCAAATGCTGTTTATGGCTTTGGGTAAACAGATGGGGCTGGGGTTTTCCTAGCCTATATTTAATCTCAGTCTATATTTAAACTGCTTCCAGAGGAGTTAGCAGACCATTGTTTCAGCTGTGGCTAGAGAAGTAATTTCTAAACAAATCTTACCCCCGTCCACCCTTGCTTCCCCTCACCCTGCTCCTGACTGATCCTTTCTATTTTCACATAGCCTGAGTTTGAAGCCTTATCCTTGCTGGTTATCTGTCCTTTGCCTTCAGAAACATCTTGTCTCTGTCCCCTGAGATTGTAAGCTCTAAAACACAGGTCCCACCCCAAGTCCAGTTGTGGGGGCCATGAATCCCCATCCTCTTATGTGTGTCTGTGTGTCTGAGTGTTGCTACATCCAGAATGGACTGAGATGCAGCCAAAATGCTGCTTTGGGGAGAGGAAATACCTTTTCATAATCACTCGTTTTGCTGTACATTCTTGCTGCCTTTTGAGACTGCAGGCTGCATGTGTGTGTGTGGGATTTTTCCAGCTGTTTCTCCACACAATCACGTCTGTCACAGACATTTAATGTAAAGCTTCCCATATAATTAAAAAACTACAGGATGGGGACATCCCTGCAAAAGCCAGGCACTGTGAGGCTCGTGGATATGTTGGTGAGAGTTGTCAGTACACAGGTGTAATAATTGATATAAGAAATACATATTTGGCACTGCAATACCAGGTGGGTGTTTAAAAAATATATTCATGGCTTGCACTTTGATTCTTGGGAAAAATTACCTATGTGTCCCTGGTTTCTTTCTTGCTTTGTGCAACACTCACTGAGCAGGCTTGACCTTCGGGCTGTCAAAGTGCTTTTTTTTTTTGTTTATTAGCAGGATTGTGTGTAAGCATGGCTAAAATTGGTGAAAACTTTGCCACTTGAGCTATTTCTGGGACGCCCGTGCTGCACACCTCGTGCTTGATTTTGTGCCTGTGTTGCTGCGGAGGGCTTGAAATCTCCAGCTAGGGAGGAAAAAAAAAAGAACCTACAAAAGCCTATCTACTGTCTGCAGAGTTTCTTTAGGGGAAAGCAGTGTTTAGGGTCCTGCTGGAAAATGTGCCATCCCAAGTGGTGCCTCCCATTCATGGGGAACAGCATCCTGCCCGCAGTGGTAGTGCTTTTTTTTTTTTTTGGATGGATCTGTACCAGTTAACAATTGTTAGAGCAGCTTTCCTCCCTTCCCACTGACTTTTGATTGCTTTTTCTTGACACTGGTGGCAGCTCCATGTCCCCTGTCTTTACCTGGCCAGGTTCTGATAAGCACAGTCTTGACTGGTTTCTCTCTCTTAATCCCTGCCAAGCCCTTTTCCCCTGGAGTCCTCCCAGCAGGACCCGAAAAAAAAAACCAAAAAAACCCACCTCATTTCTCAAAGGGGGAAAAATGTTTGCACACAAGATCTCCCTTCCCTTTTCTGGCCGGAGCCTGGTGCATCCCTTCCAGCTAACTGCATTCCTGACATACCAGCCCAGGGGATGGCTTGGGAAGCATTTCAAACAGGCTGGAGTATCTCCTGCTCAAGCTTTTTCCCCTGCAAATTTCCTCTTCTTGCATTCCAGAAAAGGGCACCGAATCCTTCAGGGCTGGCAGAGAGACACGCTGTAGTTTAATAACAGCCGGCTGCAGCCACAGCAATCGGCGCTTGTCTCCACGTTTCCATCAGTTCCCTCTTCCCACCTAAGGAATTCGGGTTTGGGGTTATTTTCTGCTTCATCTGATTTCCAAGCAGAGGGGGAGAAAAATAAAAAATTGCCTGGGAGGGGGAGAATGGAAAAAACTGTGCTAGGAGTGGGTAAACAGCCCTTTGCGTTGCTGAACTTAAGCAAGGGGCTTGGATAGAACTTTTATATTCTGTATATTATATAATTATATGATATAACTTTTAGATATAAAGCTTTTAATTGCACAAGGCCTTATTTTTAAGAGCTGTTGGCGCTTTGCAGCCAGGCTGGAGTTTTTGTGGCAGGGTTTAGAGGGAGCGGGATGTCTGCAGCGATGCTGGGGAGGGGGACACACAGGATTTACTGGGGTGATGCCAGATATTTCAGGCCACGTATTGCAACTCTTCCCTGGTGCAAACCCTGGAGGAACAAAGCGTGGCTCCAGGCTCGAGCACAAGGCTTGTCTGGTTGTCCTCGTGCTTTGTTCTGGCCACCTTCCAAGCTCCAGAGGACACGAGTGGCACCACGGGAGGTCTTGCCAGCCCTTGCATCAGCCTCTACACTGGTGGTCAAAGCGTCAGCGTGTTCTGTGGGCAAAGGGAAATGGGTTGATTTTCCTCTCAGCACGCTGATGCAGTGTTTCTGGGGAAAAAAAAGGAGGAAAACCCCCTTTATTTTTCTTTTTTTCCTTTTGGAAACTTGTCTCCCCCCTGTTATCATCCCTGGACTGACTTCATGCAGCAGCTTGAGCCATCGGTGCATCTCTAACCACCACCCTGTGCTCCCACAGGACCCGAGAGCTTGCTGGTTTTATAAATATATATCACAGCAACACGTGAAATGGGGAGGAGGACAGATTTATGAGCCTGGGAGCAATGTATCCCCAAAAAACTCGTAAAGGCAAGAGGGATGCTTTGAACAGGGTAGTGGCCAGCAAGTAGCATCGTGAAAGAACGAGGCTGCCCTTGCTGTCCCAAACCTTTGGTGATTTGTAGGCAACACAGTGCTTTTTGGGAGCACCCAGGTTATCTTTTCTGATGGTCTAAGGAGAAGATGAGGATGGTCTCCTGCATGGACACCGTGCACCTGGGGAGAGGAGGGCATTGTGAGCGTGTGGGGTGGCATGGTGGGACCTGGAGCCTTTGCTAAACAGGTCCAGAGAGGTGATTCTGCCACTTTACTCTGGTGAGACCTCACCTGGAGTATTGTGTGCAGGTCTGGAGCCCTCAATATAAGAAGGACATGGACCTGATGGAGAGGGTCCAGAGGAGGGCCACAAGGATGATCAGGGGGATGGAGCACCTCTGCTACGAGGACAGGCTGAGGGAGCTGGGGTTGTTCAGCCTGGAGAAGAGGAGGCTCCGGGGAGACCTAACAGCAGCCTTCCAGTACCTGAAGGGAGCCTACAGGAAGGCTGGGGAGAGCCTGTTTAGAAAGGCCTGCAGTGACAGGACGAGGGGCAATGGCTTCAAGCTGGAGGGGAACAGATTTAGACTGGAGATGAGGAGAGGGTTCTTCACTGTGAGGGTGGTGGAGCACTGGAACAGGTTGCCCAGGGAGGTGGTTGAGGCCCCATCCCTGGAGATATTCAAGGAGAGGCTCGACGAGGCCCTGGGCAACCTGGTCTAGTTGGGGGTGTCCCTGCTGACTGCGGGGGGGTCGGACTAGATGGCCTTTGGAGGTCCCTTCCGGCCTGGGCAATTCTATGATTGTATGATAACGTGCTGGGCTTTGTTTCTCTCCCTCAGGCTGCTTCCCAAAGGTGACTCCAGAGCCCCTGTGGTTTGGGGAGAGGCCATGGCTGCCTAGTGCCCCCCGGGACCGGAGATGGCGGCGCAGAGGATCCGGGCAGCCAACTCGGGCGGCCTGCCGCGCTGCAAGTCGGAGGGGACCCTCATCGACCTCAGCGAGGGCTTCTCCGAGACCAGCCTCTGCGATGTCAAAGGTGTGGTGGGAGGGGGAGGGAAGGGAGAGGGGGGCAATGCCTCCCTCCTCAATTCAGGTCCATCCTCTTATCACTGGGCCAGATTGCTTTCCTACAGCCTAATCTCCGGTCTTAACATCTTGACATTAATGTCACTGAAAGTAAAATGAACAATACCTCAAGGAATAACTGCTTGGGAAGCATCTGGAGAATTATCTCTATATTCCTACTAGTGTACCTTACACAGAAATTGCACAATTTGTACAAGAGTTTTCAAAGTCAGGGGATATAGGATAAACTTTAGTCTGGCAAATAGAAAGGTGGATTCCATTCATACTTGGTAGGAATGGAATGGAATAGAACACCAGCTTGTCTTATCCTGAAGCACGTGTCCGTATTTGGTTGATGAAATACTCATTGAAAGTGTCTCCTCTGATTGACGAGCTGTCCAGGATGACAGGCTCAGGTGTAGATGTCATTTTCTGGTGAGCTAGAAGTACATTTGAGAAGGCAGCTCTGGAGTAGAGGCAACATCTCTGAGTTAACAACACGGATGATACCTGAACAGTTAGCTGTCCTCGAGCTCGTTAAAGATGGACCTCTTTTGATGCTACATGCACAAGAATTTCATTTCTTTGGGGAATTTGGAGGAGGGGGATCGGTTAATAATTAGCAGACGGCAGCTGATAGGGAAGAGCAGCAAACACCAGTGAGCATGTGGAGGCACAAGGACAAGCATGTCCCTGACACCAAGAGACCTGGCAGCCAACAGAGGTGACAGCCAACAAGGTGGTTGCAAGAATTTATCTTCCCCTTCCCCAGAGCTGGGAGCTTGCAGGTTGCTTGAATAATACTTTTTCTTCCTTTTATCTTTTTTTTTTTTTTTTCATCAGCTTTATTTACCTTACCCAGCAGAAAAGCTGCGTTCAGGTGTGAGGGGAAATTACTGTTCCTGCAGCAGAAATGGATCCCGAGGAATAACTCCGGGTGGAATTTAGCAGGTGCCAAGGGCCTTTAAAAATAAACGTGCATAAAAGCAATTGCTTTTGCAGGCAGAGCAAGAAGAGACCAAAACATCAAACGCTCTCACTGCAAATTAGATTGTTTTTAATGTGAAGATAGGAATTGCTCATATTCTCCAAGGGGTTTGCTGGTTTCAGCACACATCCCTGTTAGCCCTGCTGCTGTGCCAGCTGCCTGCACGGCTAGGGGGGACATGGGGACAGCCACTCACCCAGCTCATCTGCAGGGATCTGCAGGGATGGGGAGACCAAAAATGCCCTGACCCACACATACAGCTCCTGGGTTAATGGCGCCTTCCCACCAGGGTGGCAAAATAGTTTTTCAGTGCAGAATATAAATATATATATAGTTTTCCACTGAATAAATGTCTTTGTGACTTTTCCTACGTGCTGGCAGAGGAAGTGGATTAATGATGAGTTGTTAAGAATGTGTGTAAGCTCTTCTCTTCCTAATATTTCATCCCTAGCATGTATTTAAAGACTTTTCTTTCCATGTCTGTGTCTTCCCTTGCCTTCTGCTTCATGTGTCTGAGAAGCAGTGTCAGCCTGCAGCTAGTGACCGCAGGGATGCACAGTCTCATCCCTTGTCCCTTCATCACCAAGATTTTAGGGGCCTTAAATCCCCCTTTTCCCTCCGGAGAGCTCCCAAACCTATTAAAGCAGGTGCTGTTCCAGTTCTCTTGCAGCTCCCTGTTGGTGAAAACTCAGCTTTCCTTGTTTTCGTAGGTCTGTCTAACAAGATAACACACGTTTGAATGCTGATGTTACCTGCAGCTTGTTTCCACTGCTTTTTACAAAATAGGTCCTAAAAGTGAGAACAAAAGCAATAAATATGGTGCCAGTGTGAGCATCTGTAGGCTTGACCCAGCTGTTTTACTTGTAATTGGGATCCCCTGGCAAAATGACTTTGAGCTGCCACTACTGAAAGGGAGATTGGAGATGCTGCTGGGACCACGACAGCACTGCAGGAGGGCAATGCTGTGCTTCTTTCTGAGGGTTCAAATTACACAACCTTCTTGAGAAATTGAGTTAATTTTTGGTTGAGGACCTTTGAAATACAGGTGCTATGTAAGAGAAGCGAGACGCTGACGTTTTTGGTTGAGGTGACATGAAAAAATAGGAGAATGACCTACCCTTAGTTGTTTTCCTGAAAGGCAAGATGTTTTATGTGTGCAGGAGAGGGGTTATGGCAGAGTGAGAACACTTTAAACCTGTGAACACTACCTTGGGTTATCACCTAATCTCTTTGCAGAAGAGGCATTCACCAGCAGCAGCACAGGTAACTATGTGCATGAGTGCTAAAAAGCTGGTGGCCAAAGACCTTGAGATACTGCAGACCAATTCAGTAGAATAGTGGCTGTGTAACTTCTTCCCATGTAGCAATCATTGAGAACCCCCCCTAATTAATTTTGTTATTTTAAATGCAAACATTTAAGGGTGTACCTGCGATTCCAGCACGTGCCTGTAGGAGCTTAGGTCCCTGTAGGAGCTTGGATTCCAACATGCCAGGTGAAAAGGAGGGCTGATAAGCAGCGATTCCCACTCCCTCAAAACTCCATCCAGTGCATCTTCTTGGCATCTTCTTGTGCATTGTTCATCAGGGAGTTTAGAGGCTGGTGCAGGAGCAGCTGCTTGGGGCCCTACGTGGAGAGAGGGAGGCTTGTTGCTAAGGAACTTGCCTTCAACGGTGGTGGGGATAACAAGTTGCTGCTTCTCCTGTCTCAGTTCCTGCCGCTCTTCCCAGCGGTGGTTGATGCCCATCCCTCTAGATCGTTAATCCTTTGGGGAAGAGGAGTGTGAATGTATCAGAAGGAGCAGAGGGAGAAGTTTTGTTTAAAAATTTAAGGGGAAAAAAATACTTAGGGGCTTCAGAGGTGGTGAAACTACCTTACTTCACCGCTTCAGGTAGCACAGATTGCTCAGCCAAAGTGAATTGTGGCTCTCTTGTGGGTTGCTTACAGTGCTGTTTTTTCTTCTTGGCTTTGCAGTGCCTTCTCCTAGTGCCTTGCTGGTTGACAATCCCACGTCCTTTGGAAACGCGAAGGAGGTAATAGCAATCAAAGACTACTGTCCGACTAATTTCACCACTTTGAAGTTCTCCAAGGGGGACCACCTTTATGTCTTAGACACGTCGGGAGGCGAATGGTGGTACGCTCACAACACCACCGAAATGGGTTACATCCCTTCCTCCTACGTCCAGCCCGTCAACTACCGTAACTCTTCCTTAACGGACAGTGGGATGATAGACAATCTACTTGAGAGCCCCGACGAGGGGGTCAAGGAGTTAGACCTGCTGGGAGAATGGACTGACTCTGTGAAAAGAAACTCTGTGAAATCCTTCAATAACAACCCCTTCTTGAACGGAGTCCAGACCAACCCATTTCTGAATGGGAATTTGCAAACGGCGCCCAACTCGGACAAAGAATCCAACTCTAACTTTGCCGTTGACTTGTTGCTCTTTGACACGGGGGCTCCTACTTCAGTTGTTTCCAGTTCAGCCACTAATAGCAGCCTGGGTAACATTTTTGATGAGTTTCCATCCATAAACAGGTTGGATCTGGAACAGCCTGTGAAAAGGGACAATCCCTTCTTCAGAAGTAAACGCTCCTACAGTTTGTCTGAATTGTCTGTTCTTCAAGCCAAGTCGGACGCTCCGGCGTCTTCGGGTTTCTTCAGCGGTTTGAAATCTCCCACCCCTGAGCAGTTCCAGAGCCGGGAAGATTTTAGGACGGCATGGTTGAACCACAGGAAGCTGGCTCGGTCTTGCCATGACTTGGATTTGCTTGGTCAAAATCCTGGCTGGGGTCAGACGCAACCAGTGGAGACAAACATCGTCTGCAAGCTGGATAGCTCTGGTGGAGCCGTTCAGCTTCCAGACACCAACATCAGCATCCATGTGCCAGAGGGCCATGTGTCTCCTGGAGAAACGCAGCAGATCTCCATGAAAGCCATGCTGGATCCACCACTGGAACTGAACAGTGACAAGTGCAGCACCATCAGCCCAGTCCTGCAGATCAAACTCAGCAATATGGAGGTGAAAACCTTCATCATTCTGGAGATGAAGGTGTCAGCAGAGGTCAAGAACGACGTCATGAGCAAGAGTTTGGTAGGGCTGCAGTGCCTGCGGAGTGACATGAAAGAGGGGCCGTACACACCAATGCAGCTGAGCTATTCCTATGGGGACACAATCCAGGTGCAGCTGGAGAACCTGGAGCCTTGTATGTACATCGCGGTCGTAGCCCAGGGACAGAACATCCATTACCCTTACACTGTTTGGGATTACATCAGCAAGAAGATCACGGTTGGCGTCTACGGCCCAAAACACATTCACCCTTCCTTTAAAACCGTTGTGGCCATGTTTGGGCATGAATGTGCACCCAAAACTCTCCTGGTGAGCGAGGTCACAAGACAGTCCCACAGCCCAGCTCCCGTTGCCCTGCAGCTCTGGGGTAAGCATCAGTTTGCTCTGTCCCGGCCTCAGGACCTCAAACTCTGCATGTTCTCCAACATGACCAACTACGAGGTGAAAGCTAGTGAGCAAGCCAAAATCGTGCGGGGCTTCCAGATGAAGCTGGGCAAGGTCAGTCGCCTCATTTTCCCCATTGCGTCCCATGATCCCAACGAGCTCTCAGACTTCACGCTAAGGATACAGGTCAAGGATGACAAGGATGCCATTTTGACCCAATTCTGCGTCCAGACGCCGCAGCCAGCTCCAAAAAGTGCCATCAAACCCACAGGGCAGAGGCGGTTCCTCAAGAAGAACGAGGTTGGAAAGATCATCCTTTCACCCTTGGCTGCCACCGCCAAGTATCCAGTTTTTCAGGACCGGCCGGTGTTGAGCTTGAAGTATGGCAAGCTGCTGAAGACAGTGGTGCGCCAAAGCAAGAACCACTATTTGCTGGAGTACAAGAAAGGAGATGTCATAGCCCTCCTCAGTGAGGAGAAGATCAGGTTGAAAGGGCAGCTGTGGACCAAGGAGTGGTATATTGGCTACTACCAGGGAAAAATAGGCCTTGTGCACACCAAAAACGTGCTGGTGGTTGGGAAGGTCAAACCCAGTTATTTTTCTGGGCCAGATCTCACCACCAGCCTGTTGCTCGAGCAGATCTTGAGGCCCTGCAAGTTCCTGACCTACATCTACGCCTCTGTGAGGACTCTGCTTATGGAGAATCTGAGCAGCTGGCGGTCCTTTGCTGATGCGTTGGGGTACTTGAACTTGCCACTCACATTCTTCTGCCGAGCAGAGTTGGACAGTGAGCCAGAACGAGTGGCCTCCGTCTTGGAGAAGCTGAAGGAAGATTGCAACAACACTGAGAACAAGGAGAGGAAATCTTTCCAGAAGGAGCTGATGACGGTGAGTCTAGGTCTGACAAGGAGGTCTTCATTCCTTGACGTGCAGGGTGGCTAGAGTGAACAGGAGGTGGACAGGCCCCCCAGAGGGCCGTGCTGCCATCCAGCGAGATCTGGACAGGCTGGAGAACTGGGCAAGGAAGAACCTCATGAGGTTCAACAAGGAAAAGTGCAGGATCCTGCACCTGGGGAAGAAGAATGTCAGGCACCAATACAGGTTAGGGGTGGACCTGCTGGAGACAAGCTCTGAAGAAAAGGATCTGGGGTTCCTGGTGGACAACAAAATGACAGTGAGCAAACAGTGTGCTCTTGTGGCCAAGAGGCCAATGGAATCCTGGGCTGCACAGGGAAGAGTGTGGCCAGGAGGTCAAGGGAGGTCATTCTGCCCCTCTGCTCTGCACTGGGGAGGCCACAACTGGAATCCTGTGTCCAGTTCTGGGCTCCCCAGTTCAAGAGGGACAGGGAACTACTGGAAAGAGTCCAGCATAGGGCTACAAAGATGATTCAAGGACTGGAGCATCTCCCTTATGAGGAGAGGCTGAAAGAGCTGGGACTCTTTAGTCTGGAGAAGAGAAGGCTGAGGGGAGACCTTATTAATGCCTACAAGTATCTCAAGGGCGGGCTGAGGGAGGAGGGAACCAGACTCTTTTCAGTAGTTGCCAGTGAGAGGACAAGGGGCAACGGGCACAAGTTGGAACATAAAGGGTTCCACTTGAATATGAGGAAGAACTTCTTCACGGTGAGGGTGACAGAGCCCTGGAAGAGGCTGCCCAGGGAGGGTGTGGAGTCCCCTTCTTTGGAGATTTTCAAGACCCACCTGGATGCTCCTGAGTAACATGCTCTGACAAGCTCTGGGTGGTCCTGCTTTGGCAGGGGAGTTGGACTAGATGATCTCTATGGTCCCTTCCAACTCTAAAAATTTAGTGAAATTCAGTGAAATTCAGCTTTCCTAATTCAGTCTGTAGGAAATCCATCTTTAAGGTCTTCTGCAGGCTGCTCATCTCAGCCAGGTGGAAGTTCAGCCCTACAGTTGTACATGTTGGTTCAATGGGATCATGCCCGTAAAGGAGCGATGCGCTGGGTGAAATGCTGTAGGTCCATGTTGTGTTAGGGCAGCCACCAGGCTTGATTTGGAAGGTAGCTAACCTGAAGGCCCTCAAGATCAGGGTGGTTTTGGTCCAGTGGTTTCATAGCTGGTCCCTGCTGCTGGGTATTTACATTTCAGCCTTCAGTGATGCACAGTTCAAGGAGTTACCCGAGAGCTGCTGGTCTCCTCAGTCTCAAAATATGCTTCGTTGAAATCAGTACTAATGGAAAACTTGCAAAAAAGGGCAATAAACACAAAAGCTTTTCCTATACAGAGTGGGGTGGGCAAGCCACCTCTCAGGTCATGTATTTTCGTGTCTCTAGGTGTGTCAAAGCGTGCTGGAGGTGGGGTTTACAGCTGCTGTGGAGAGTGATGCTACGCCTTTGCCTTTACAAAACAACCTCAAATTTCTGTATGATAAGGTCAGGTTATCTTGCCCCATCTCTCTTTCAGTAGCAGCTGAACCAAGGGCACCATCGAGTGGGGATGCATCATGTCCAACTGTGGATTGCATCTGTCAAATGGAGATGCTTCTGTCCTAAAGGGAGTTTGTGGGGAGCCAAAAAAAAAAATAATAATCCTATTTCTAGGAGGATGCTGTTAGGAAGTCTCTTACGAGAAGTCCTCTTCGTGATAATTTCTAGCGTTTCTTTGGAAGCCAGCCAAAAACCAAGCAAAAAAGAAAAACAACAAAAAAAGCACAGGACAAAATATTTGTCTGGAAGAGATTTGCAGCTCTGGCCTCCTCTTAACAGTCTCTCCCCCAGAAGCACGATAACCAAGTTACCCCGCAATCATGTGGTTTAAAATGCCAAGTGAATTAAGGAATAGCGAGAGCTTCGCTCGGCTCTAATGGGCGCAGACGGGAGCGTGCAAAATGGAATTACCAGTAGGCAGACTGGGTAAAGGGGACTGGAGCCAAATGAAGTATTTCAGTGTCCAAACTCCCTTTAATAAGGAGGAGGAAATTTGAGGATTGAGTGTAAGGTGAAAAGCGTTATGAAGAGCACAGAGCTTTTACGTTACTCATGGAATTATTGTCCAGTGAGTATCCAGGGTCTGGGTACAACTTTGTGGCCCTGTTGTATGCATTCATCTCTTTTCTTTTTGGGGCCAGCCAGGAAGGGAAATTACCCCCCATGGTAGCCAAGGTTGGCCTCTGGCCCCGTGGTTCTCCCAAGGGAGGGTTTTCTCCTTTAATCATTGGCCTCGGTGAGCGATGGGGTGAAACCTGTGTTCCTCTTGGTGAAGCTTCCAAAGGCTTGGTGATGTTTGCCTTCCTGCTTTGCAAACCTCTTGGTGTTACTTTTATCTATTCCCTTTTGTCTCCGGGGGTCCCAGACAGTCTGTAGGTTGTGGAAAATCCATGCCAGACCTCAGTGGGGAGACAAAAGGGGAAGATAAGGCTCTCCTGGATACTGGGGGAGCAGATGATTCAAGAGGAGGGCTGTGAGCTGCAGGAAAACTTCCCAATCCCCAAGGGCTGCCTGAAGTATAGAGTCCCAGAGCAGGCTTTATTTTTCTTGTTGGAATTGAGGCTAATCCTGAGCGTTGGCTATTTTTCCTATTCTTTATGAGTCTGAGCCTGTCGATTAAAGGAAGAGCTCCCTTCCTAGTGGAAGAGGATGCCTCTTCTAAACCCCTCGCTGCTGTCAATCCTCCTTGGAGAAATTAGATTGAGTTTCAAGAAAAAAAAAGGAAAGATGTTTTGAGATGACAATGGAGCAGTAATGTATTTTACTGTGTTTAAATCTGATTTTATTTGTAACAAACAGTGGTTTGTAACAAACCAACTTCCTGGTGCCTGCTGGCAAGAAAAATCGGTCGGATTAAGCTCTGATCTGACCATTCATCTTGAAATTGGTTGTCCCATCTCAAAGGAACTGTGAAGGGAGAAGTAGGCTTATCTGAATTCAGCATTGAGTACACAAAATCGCAGTGACAGAGCCATGCACCAGCAGCCAAACGTGGAAAAGCCCGCTCATGGTGACTTAGTTAATAAGTAATCTGTGTTTAATTATTACTTTTCTAATCTAGCCCTAGAAGCGGTGTGTGAAGGTAACTCGGGGAGTGTTGCTCAGAAGGTTAGTCATCACATAAGAAAAGAGAAACCTGCCTCTTCCCACCCTCCCCTCTGCCCATCAAAAGGAGGCAACACACAGATGCTCTTGCTAATAAAGCCTGCAAGAAGACCTCATTGCAGCTGGGCCACCGGTTCCTGGCAATGCAGTGACTGCACTGCCTGGTCTTTGGGAGCTGGGGTTAGACCTGTGATGAGACACAGCCTTTCTCTCTCTGGATTTTCAATCCAGTGTTTTTATAGAGCCTCGTGTTTATCATCCTTTCCAGTAGATGCTGCTGCTGTTTGGGGAAAAACATGGGTCTTCTGGGAATGACACTGGACGTGTCAGCAGAGAGATGTGGAAACTGTGAGCTTTTTCTTCTCCAGGCCACTTCTAAAGATCCCTGGAGTCTTTAGGTTAGATTTAGAATCTTCACTTTTCTGGAAGTGTTCAAGACCTGTCTGGATGGGGCTTTGAGCAACCTCGTCTGGTGGAAGGTGTCCTTGCCCATGGCAGGGGGGTTGGACCTCAATGATCTTTAAGGTCCTTTCCAACCCAAACCATTCTATGATTCTATGATCATGCAGAAGATTATATTGTTTGGGGCATGCTGCCTTTTTTCTACCAAAAGATACTGCTTGTCACAGGTGTGTTCAGACCCCGAAGAACTGCTGGTGGGCTCAAGCAGTCCTTAATGTCCTGCAGAGCAGGGCATCCATTGCTCAGATCTTGTGCCAGCCCAAGCTTGCTCATGTTGGCCTCCTCTTGCTCCTCCATCCCAAAGCAATCTGCTGGCTAATGGTAGTCCCTGTGCTGAATTTGGGTCTGGGGGGGAACCCTGACTCCTGCCCCGCGTATGGATCCTGGACAATGTTCTTGAAAGGCACCACGCTTGTGCCATGCTGAAGTTGATGGGGATGTTTTCTGTAGGACATGGCTTGTCCTTGTATAGCCAATATGCTTGCAGCACAGGAGATGCTTGCAAGGTTCCAGTGAGGTCTTTTCATGCGCAACGCTTGTAAGGGACAGGGAACTACTAGAAAGAGTCCAGCGAAGGGCAACAAAGATGATTCAAGGATTGGAGCATCTCCCTTATGAGGAGAGACTGAGAGAGCTGGGACTCTTTAGCCTGGAGAAGAGAAGGCTGAGGGGAGACCTTATCAATGCCTACAAGTATCTCACGGGAGACTTGAAGGAGGGGGGAGCCAGACTCTTTTCAGTGGTTCCCAGTGAGAGGACGAGGGGCAACGGGCACAAGTTGGACCAGAAGAGGTTCCACTCAAATATGAGGAGAAACTTCTTCACGGTGAGGGTGGCAGAGCCCTGGAACAGGCTGCCCAGGGAGGGTGTGGAGTCCCCTTCCTTGGAGATTTTCAAGACCCACCTGGATGCTCCTGAGTAACATGCTCTGGCTCTGGGCAATCCTGCTTCAGCAGGGGAGTTGGACTAGATGATCTCTATGGTCCCTTCCAACTCTAAAATTCAGTGAAATTCAGTGAAATCTTGCTCTGCATCCCTATCAACTGGTAGAAAGCTGCAGAAATGGCACTGATGCTTCGCAGTCAGTATAATACCACCCACTTTTATCTTCTGGGGCTGGCAGGAAATCTTTACTGCCTTCCCACCCCCGGTGCAGCAGTTGCCGACCCTTTGTTCTTGCTCCCATGCAGTTTTGCTCTTGCAAAAGAATAATTTACCAAAAAAAGCTGCTTGTGGTTGCATTGGTAGTGCCTTCTCCAAGCCACCTGGGAGTGTGGCTGATGGCAGTTGGTGTCATTTCAGAAGTGATGCCTGAAGCACCCCAAGACCCAGCTGAGCACCAGGTCCAAATTGCCTCGCAAAGCCTGTGCCTGA